TTCTTTCTAGCTATTCTTAAGCTGCAAGGCAGCGCCATCTCTTCGCATTATAGGTAAACCCACAATGTCAAATGAATACTTTTACAAGTATTAAACATTTGAAAGAAGAAATAGCAATTTATAGTTATAATTTTTATTATTTTTATATATTATATAATGCGAAGAGATGGCGCTGCCTTGCAGCTTATGAATAGCTAGAAAGAATTTCGACGCGGTCCGTGAGGGCCGCGGTAGCATAATTGGTCAGTGCATTCGCCCGGATTGCGAAGGGTGCGGGTTCGAGTCCCGTCTGCTGCCTGGTCCGCGTGGAATTTTTTCTAGTTATATTTTCTTTAGATTTAATCATCAAGCAGTTACATGCTTTAAAAATAATAAAAATTATAACTATAAATTGCTATTTCTTCTTTCAAATGTTTAATACTTGTAAAAGTATTCATTTGACATTGTGGGTTTACCTATAATGCGAAGAGATGGCGCTGCCTTGCAGCTTAAGAATAGCTAGAAAGAATTTCGACGCGGTCCGTGAGGGCCGCGGTAGCATAATTGGTCAGTGCATTCGCCCGGATTGCGAAGGGTGCGGGTTCGAGTCCCGTCTGCTGCCTGGTCCGCGTGGAATTTTTTCTAGTTATATTTTCTTTAGATTTAATCATCAAGCAGTTACATGCTTTAAAAATAATAAAAATTATAACTATAAATTGCTATTTCTTCTTTCAAATGTTTAATACTTGTAAAAGTATTCATTTGACATTGTGGGTTTACCTATAATGCGAAGAGATGGCGCTGCCTTGCAGCTTAAGAATAGCTAGAAAGAATTTCGACGCGGTCCGTGAGGGCCGCGGTAGCATAATTAGTCAGTGCATTCGCCCGGATTGCGAAGGGTGCGGGTTCGAGTCCCGTCTGCTGCCTGGTCCGCGTGGAATTTTTCTAGTTATATTTTCTTTAGATTTAATCATCAAGCAGTTACATGCTTTAAAAATAATAAAAATTATAACTAATTAGCAACTAAATATGCTGCGTCTATTTTCCACCTACGAGAATTTTCCGATATCGTCCTATTCTGGGGTGGTTGCAGGGATGATCTGGAGTTAAGGGTTGATAATCAAATACTATAAGCAACGCTATTTTGCAGCAACTAATTAGCAACAAAATATCCAGCAGTTTTAAACATCTGCGTGTGAATTCGAACCATCTACTATTTTTAAGTGAGTAGAGGGGATGGATCTGAGGTTAGGGGATGATTGTAGAATACTCTTAATTGTGTTTTTGGCGAGCAACTAATTAGCAACAAAATATCCAGCAGTTTTAAACATCTGCGTGCAAATTCGAACCGTCTACTATTTTTAAGTGAGTAGAGGGGTAGGATCTGAGGTTAGGGGATGATTGTAGAATACTCTTAATTGCGTTTTTGGCGAGCAACTAATTAGCAACAGAACATCCAGCAGTTTTAAACATCTGCGTGCGAATTCCAACCATCTACTGTTTCTAAGTGAGTAGAGGGGTTGCATCTGAGGTTAGGGGATGTTTGTAGAATACTCTTATCTGCGTTTTTGACGAGCAACTAATTAGTAACTAAATATCCCGCGTCTATTTTCCACCTACGAGAATTTTCCGGTATCGTCCTATTCCGAGGTGGTTGCAGGGATGATCTGGAGTTAAGGGTTGATAATTAAATTTTTTAAACAACGCTATTTTGCAGCAACTAATTAGCAACGAAATATGCCGTAGTTTATATTCTCTGATGAGCTCTTTTTAATTTTATCGTATTTCGGGGGTAGTGTGGGTGCTGGTGCGGCAATTAAGGGATGATGGGGGGATAATACAAATAATGCTGTCCTACAGCAACTAATTAGCAACTAAATATGCCCTTTGCAGAACTTCGATATCTTTACGAGAACCGAAGATACAGTATCGTGGTCTGCTAGGTTAAGACTTAATCTAGCAGATCGCATGTATCTTTTACAGGTGTTGAGCAACTAAATCGGGAATAGTGTAACTAATTAGCAACTAATTAGCAACTAAATATGCCGTTTGCAGAACTTCGATATCTTTACGAGAACCGAAGATACAGTATTGTGGTCTGCTAGGTTAAGACTTAATCTAGCAGATCGCATGTATCTTTTACAGGTGTTGAGCAACTAAATCGGGAATAGTGTAACTAATTAGCAACTAATTAGCAACTAAATACCCAGTAGGTTAGATGTGCGCGTTGCGACCATGGTCTGCTAGCTTAATATACGTGGCCAAGACCCACCACGCGGGCCCAGTACGGATTGGTGGGTGCTAACGACAAACGGCTTAACGTGCCTTCCAAAGCATCCGTGCTTCGGAAGGCACGCTAAGCCGAGATAGTAAAATTTTAGTCACCCATCCAATGACCGACCACTGCGAAAGTTGCTTAACTTCAACGATCGCAGCCAAAAGTGCTAACCTCTTGCGTCATCGAGCTCATCAAGCCTAATTTGCTTTGTATTTCATATCCCTTTTTAACTCCATTTAACTCACAATACGAAGCTTAAAAGCTCTATTGGGTAAATAACGAAAGTTGATGGATGCCCTTTTCATCTATTTGTTTTTTACATAGATCTAAAAAGTGTTTCAAAAGAAGATCATGAAAATACGGTTTCTCTTCCCCTATTATTCTTGTTTGTTACCTCATTTTCTTTTGAGAAATAAAGGAAAGTAACATTTCTGTATTTTAGCAAAGCTCATTTGGTTTTATGGTTTAAATAAAAGAACGATGAGTTTTGTAAATAAATAAAACATCTTGTAAGCTCCCAATGAAACTGTTTAAGTATTTCCATCACTGTATCATTCGTTTTTTCATTTTCCAAAACTTTTTATCAAAATAGAATAAAACGGAAGAAGCAAAATAGCTCTTAATAGGGTATTTGACAAGTTATAGAAAACGATTTCACGCAGTGCCGTCTTTGACCTATTGGAGGCCCTGGGCATATTAGGATATTGGGGCCCCTATGTCCACCGTTTGGTGATCTAACAAGAACTAGGGACTTTGTATTTATGATCTGAGGTGCCCACCTATCGATCACGGGGCCCTGGGCACTTGCCCAAAGTGCCCACTGGGAAAGACGGGTCTGATCTCACGTTATTAACTAATGTTTATGGAGTCCGTAAAAAGTGGATATTCATCATTCTGTTGTGTATTTCAGTAAAAATCACCAAATCAAAAACTCCATTTTCAAGTTGCCGCGAAAACGTTTTTCAGGGCAATATGGCGTCTTACTAGTGTGTGACGTCACATGACTGTTATTAAAACGTCAAACGATACAATATAATGTCACTTTAACCGGAAGTTTACTTGCGTGTGACGTCATTTTAGGCTCCTCCAATCCCAAGCGTTTTGGGTCACGTGACAATAGATAAGAAAACTATTATCTTTTTCGTGGGTTTTTAGTAAAATTATGAATATTTTTTTGTAAAAATAGTAAAAACCCAGCCAATATTCATTCTAAACACAGATACTAACAATTGGAACTTTATTTTAAATACTGTCAAATACCCTATTATAATAAACAAAAGAATACTTTAGGTCTCTAAATTATCTTTAAAAAAATTGATGCGTGTAACTTATGTACGCGCGTGAGAAGTTATACTTCTTTAGCATCATTAAAAATATTTTTTAATTGCATGCAAATAATTAATAATATCAATAAAATAATAAAAGGACTGGAAAAGGATAGTTAACACAGTCAATTAAGTTCAGTTTTAATTTGAAAAATTAAATAAATATTCAAAATATTCAATTAAAATCACTACTGAATTTAAGTTATTAGTCCATATGTAATTAGCACTTGTAAGTAACTAAAACACGTTGGGTCTATATAGAAACTAGAAACATGTGGATAGATATTATAAATATGAAAACAGTGATCAGAGGCGACGAGCGTGCCAACATTGTTTTTGACAACGCGATCATCTTATGGAGCTCCGTGGATCGTTCAAAGTACCTTTCGAACAGATGTCTAATAATGGTGGATTGAACATTCATAACGCGCCCGCGGCCAACTTCATGGTGTTACTATTGTGTTACAGTGATGCGCGCGCATCTCGAAATTTCACTCACATGAATTTTTCATAACGCGCCCGCGGCCAACTTCATGCTGTTACTTTTGGGTAACAGTGATGCGCGCGCATCTAAAAATTTCACTCTCATCATTTTTTCATAACGCGCCTAAAGAAGTATAACTTCAAAAATATCTTTAATAAAGTTTTTTTTAGATGAACATGACTCAGCAATATGAACTACATAAATTCCAATACAACATGTCGTTTTACTTACTTTTTACTAACGTATTCTTGTTCAAGTAAACTGTTACTGTCACTAAAATACACAACATAGGTATGCGTTTCTGTATGATCTCGTAGATTGGTCAACATAAAATTTCCATCAACAGTATATTTAAAAGGCAACCGTTACTGACTGATTTTTCAACGCTCACGGAAGGGAGTAGCCGCGTAATATAGCGGGGTTGATTATTATTATTTGATATTAGTTCTAGCAATTATTAATTAAGAAGTTAGTTATTAATAAATAGAAATAAAAAAGCAATGTAACTTTTTTTATTTATGTTTTTATAGATACGAGTAGGTCCGACAAACTTTATAAACTTAATTTGGTGAAACATGATCCAAAATATTTTCTAAGTTGATCTCCTAATTTCTGTTTTGTTCTCCCAATTGTCTTAACGTGTTTTTCAAGTTTTACTGTCGGTACAAGGGATTTAATAAAAATTTAATCTTTTTGTGACAAAAATTATACGAAGAACACCTTTTGATGAGAATGTCCGATACACACATAAAATAATATTTTGAAAATCGTAGAAATAAAGTCACCGCGACTTTGTTTTAACGGTAATATGCTTTTGATATACCTACTGTAAAACTTTTGAATATATTTTATTAACACTTTTATCACTAAACTCAATTTCTATAAACGTAATACTTTCTAAATACCATCTTTATAATCAATATTTATTATTCACCTTGTTATTTACAAAGTTTCACAACACTCGGTCACTTGGCTAGTAATTATCTAACAACTGAATGTATATTGATATTTAAAGTACTCGGAACAAAACAACGCGACTGTCGGTACGGTACGCCTTAGTTATACGGTGAACGAAACGATTCGATACTTGAACTAAGCAATTTATTGATTTAATTTAAATAATTGAAACTGTTATTATACATATAATCATGTTATGAACGCACAGATGATCTCAAACGTTACTTCAAGAAAAGTTTATGTTAAATAGACGGCAAAGAAAGAGTCGTTAAAAAAGAAGGGTGTCCCCATCTTCTACTCTTTAAACTTTGGAAACCTTACTCACCGGTAGAAATACACCACCAAACGGAAATCTTAAATAACATATAAAGCAAAATTCATGCTTCTCTTTCTATCTATTTATTCGTCCAAACAATATTATATTCATTTTAGTTACATTGCTATTTTAGATTTATATTTTTAATGAGCAGGACAACATCTGTTGGGTCCGCTATTGCATATTCATTAAATAAATATTTTTATGTTGTTTCTAATTTCTAAACTATAAGGAAGTGTTCTACTTTCATATATCGGGGTATAGGAATAAGTACCTACTTACTAACTGATAACTCCACGAATTATATGACCTTATCTCATGACCTCTCTCAGTTATTTATGTTTAATATTGACCAATGTGAGACGATTTGGGCATTGATAACAACAGTTGTAACAATGTGTATAGTTAATAAACTGCATATTTTTGAAATAATTAACAAACCCATAAGGTTGAACCTTCTTTCCTTAGTGATGTGTAGGGAACGTATTTCAAGCTTTTTATACCTTCGATTAGAGATTGCAAGAACAGAAGCATTCACAATACATTCTAAATAGACAGCGCTAGTTTAATTTCCTTAATACACTTTCCAAATCTATCCGAAATCATTACTTTCCTTTCACGATAAATATCAAGGTTATCCTGTAGGTCTTTCGAAAGTATGTGTTTTAAATTTTGTAATGAGGGCTATCGCGTATGAATCCGCCGCTAGAGGCGCTAGTGTAGCGTGAAGTCTCCGAAATGTCAAATGTTATTGCTTGTTGGTTGACTACGCGGGTTTATTTCTAATTAAAATAATGTTGTGAATAATTGGTAACAAATCGGCTTAATTATAGCAAATATGAGTTATGTGGCAATGAATGTCAGTTATTAAAAATTTGAGCTTAGAAAAATGATTATGTTCCCATTTTTTCCGATTAAAACGGAACTGCGCGTCACTGTGGCATGGCCTATTATGTTTAGGATATGGTTCTTTTGTTTTAAAATACGATCTAAATGTAACCTTTGATTTCATGTGCGTATTAATAATCTTTAAAAGTTACAATTTAGGATCTCACTCAACAGTGGCGCCATCTGGTGAGGCAGAAAACGGTAGCCCTCATTACAATACAACTCGAACCAAAAACTGTTCAATCGTACCTCTATCGTTGGTAGGTACGAGGTGGAGGTACGATTGAACATTTCTCTGGACTCACATCAGCCTAAAATATAAAATTTCAATATTATCGGCATTTTATATCGTAATCACGTAATAATCTACGCATGAAAATTTTACAGAATAGCACTGCAGTACCTTAACAGATTTAATTACTGACTAGGGTACACCCAAGTGTCTTAATCTTAATGCTGCTCAGGTCGTGAAAACATGGGTCTGATGAGGTTTATACCACAGCGAGTTTTCTGAGTAGTAATTTTTCCTTCCTCTGAGAGAAGAATCTCTACTTCAGAGGATACGTTGGTCTACAATATCATCGACTCATTGTGGCCTGCCAGAACAGTGGTAATGACCATGATTCCAACGTGAACAAAAATATTTGAGGAGTGATTTTGTGGTTGAATAATTTTTATTTTGGGATCGATTTTTTGGCGCACTATCTGCTTTTAAAGTGCTTTACCCATGCACGAATTCCTTCTTTCCTAGTAACCAGATCCCTTTAATTGAAGCGTAAAGTAGCACCTTGTACTTGCGAATGGAATGGAATTGGTTGAGGCCCACAAGATGAGGATGGCTGGTGTGGCAAATTTTTTGCCGCATCTGCTGCCTTCGCTACTGGACTTCACTTACGTGAAAATTGGGGGAATAAGGTCCGCGTTCCAAGGTCCATAAGAGTTTATACCACGCCTTTTATATTTATTATAAATTTATAATAGAAGAATTTAAATGTTTGAATAAACACACTTTCTCATCTAAATGCTCTTCCGACTGTAATGACTTTGAAGGCTTGTTACTTCGTTTTTTCGCAAACATTATAAAATGACGTTATAAAAAGGGTTCTAGTTCTTTTCCTGCTGCATAAACTTTTCATCCTGTAATTTGACACTAGCGGATGTATTACTGTGATAGGGCTTCAGGACTCCTATGTTGTTTGTATACGCTGATTTACAAATCTGATCATTGTTATTTAATTATCTAAATCGAAAATTTATAAATCAAGCAATTAAATTCATTAAAAAATAAAATGTTTTTATCTTATTATATTAAAAAAGTCGCGTCTAGAAAATTGTTCTCGGGTTACGGAAAACCTCAGTCAAACAATACCAATCTTCATAATAGTAGGGGAGCCCAAGCGGGAATTTTTGGATATACTCGAGCGCGGCAGTTTAACATATGGGAGGCAACCTTGCACCTTGTGAAATACTCCCTCCATACCTGAGCCCTCCTTGTAGAGCCGAACGCGTCTTTAGGTTACATAGAAATCGTCAGTCTGTTGAATAGAAGCTACTGGAAGGTTCACATAACATCCCTTATCAATGTCTAACCCACTCGGTTTTTTTTCCTATATTCTACACCTTCGTACGGTCACCCTCACACCTTGCAAACAAGTAGATCAATATTTTTTCCATGATTAGAAACGTTACGTGTTTCCTCCAGTAGCTTTTATTCAAAAGACTGACAATTTGGAAACAATTAAAAATATATGGGCAATTTTTTTTGCTGCCCTGAATGTTCGTCTACATACAGGGACCAAGTATGGTGGGAGTACTTCACAAGGTGCAAGGTTTCCCCCCTTATGTTAATCTACCGCGCTCGAGTAAATCCAAAAATCCCCACACAGACTCCCCTACCATAAACTTATTCTCTACTCCTTGCAGTGCCTAGGGTAGCCTTATTTGTACATGGCAGGGGCACAGCACGGCTAATGGTAAGCGGTTACCATAACCTATGGACGATTGCTATAACAGCCCCCTTACCATGAGCCACGCGATATTATAATACAACGCGTTTGTATCACGCTCAATTGTCAAATTACTATATATTAGTTTGACATTTAGACGCGATAAAATACGGGATATAAAGTAAATTGTGGTGCTCATGCTACAGGAACTAATGACTTCTAAGTGTAGCGAAATTCTTCGTCCATGCTTTACCTAGGATGGCTTCACTATTCTAAGCATTTCGGTGGCAATATCTATCTTAACTGACATGTCAATTTCGATTGTTTAAAAAAAAGGAGTTTGTTTTCAGCGAATTAGCTTAGGGTGCTCAGTGGGTCATGAACTAACAGGACTACAGCATTGAAACATTTCTGTGTGTAAATTAAACTTTAACGTTAATACTATAAGCCGTTACGCTTTGGAAATGGAAAACGTTTAAATACTCTGTTTCCGGTTAGGTACCAGTAAGCTACAACGGAAACTGGAGGGTAGTTAACTACATTTTTTTTGTTTTACACAATAAATTATTACGTTTTCATTTTTTTAAGCATTTAACTGCTAGATGTTTGATGTTTGTTTGTGGATAAAAAATCCACGCGGACCAGGCAGCGGACGCGACTGGCTGCACGGTCCGCGTGGATAATTTTCTAGTAAAACTTTTCTTTAGATTTAAACAATAAATTATTCTTTTAAAAATATTGTCAGAAGTGAAAGCTTGCTATTATATTCAGATATTTAAATTTAAAGAAAATTTTACTACAAATAAAATCACGCGGACCAGGAAGCAGACGGGACTTGAACCCCTTCTCTATCCGGATTAAAGCACTGACCTTTATGCTACCGCGGCCCTGATGGCCATGTCCACTTTTCTCTAGCATTTCTTATGCCGCAAGGCAGCGTTATCTCTTCGCATTGTTTTGTATTAAATAATCACAAATGAATACCTTTACAAGTATTAAACATTCGAAAGAAGAAATAACAATTATAGTTATATTTTTTAAGCATTTATCTGTTACATATTTAAATCAAAAGGGAAAATAAATATAATTATATCCTAATGTTACGGCCTCTCGCCCATAGACACGTAATTTATTAGTCGATTGTATCGGGTGCGTTATTGCGTTATTTCGTCGTACTTCGTAGCCGTTCCCATACATAATGTACTAAAACAAATATCTCAATAACGTATACGATATTATCGTTAATAACGCGCCAGTGAGGGGAAGACTTTAGTCTATTGATCGGAACAGTGATTACAAAAATTATAGTTCCTAAAACCATGACTAATAATATTTTTAAAGCGCTCAGATGCCTTCATTAATATTTATTGAGTTAAATTCAATGTCACTTTTATCGAAATGAAGGAATAGAGTAAGACATGTGATTTACAACTCAATAATTATTGAATGGGATCAAAGTTATCGCTACTTTCCATTCTTTGCGATTTCAAGAGAATAAAATATTGTTTTGACAAGAATTAAACTAAGTTATAATCCTGAGGGTGGTATTAAAGTTCGGCTGTAACCTCCTTTTTAATAAACGAAGACTACGCTTTGATTAGTTACTGCACGTTTTGTCTCTGTCTAATGAATAACAAATGGCATTTGAGTGACAAGAACAAAACACGGCGTAACTAATCTAAGCTGTTGTCCTTGTTTATTAATAAGGGGCTTTGTGCGTAGGTACCGTAATACGTAAGTAAATCCGTTTATATTCGTATTCTTTTGAAGTAATACTCAGAAGACTGAGATTTGCTATACAACAGACTAATATACATTTCGTTCGCTGTTACAAATCTTGATTGAGAACAAAAAGAATAAATATTCTCAATAGGTACCTATCTGTTCGTGGTTAGCCCTGGGCTATCAATCGCTTTTCGATCAGAAAGTTTCATCTTCAAATGAAAAAAGAACTTTCTCGTGAGAAAATATTCATTTCTTGGCAAAATAACACGTGTGTGTGTAGGTTTAGTTAGGTAGTTACTCAAGTCTATACTATTTGAACTTGATCCAGAAGTTCGATTGCGCAGTGATTGTGTACAACTGAAGAAATGTGTGTTCTGCCAGTATAAGAATATCGTTAAAAATCATTCTTAATGATAGTAGACAGTTAACGACATGTAATTTGATTCTATAGTGTATAAG